AGTCACTGTAACTTGATAATATCAATGATTAATATTAAACTGTAAATTACCGCACACTTTTTTCTTATCTCATTAATAATATTGGTGAGTAGACAATCTAAAGAGATTTTGATTCCAATGACAAATGTTTTGGTAACTGTTAAAGTAAATATATAGGTTTTTTATAAAAACTTTTTGAGAAGCTGGTTTTTAATTCTGACAATTGTTCAGTCAATTGGAGCCAATTTTATTAAGTCGGATTTGATAGAAAAAGTATTGTTTGTTTAATAGTCATTATTATTATCTATTTCATAGTCTTAACGCGTTTTATCCATAATCATTAATAAACTGTGAGTCGCCACTCAGAAACTATATATCCTAATCCTAGATAGGTGCCGTCTGTTTATTTGATTCTATGATTGTTTCACGAATAATAAATAAGCAGTCAGCCAAAGATCCTATGTGGTGTTTATACATTTAATTCCAATCTTGGATACAGTAACAGGACTTTCTGAATGCGCTTGTAGGATCGGAAAATGTTCGCAAGCATTAACGACCTTTTTTCCTTCCCTGTCAAGGGCGAGCAGCGTCGCTCATCGACTGTGAATAGATTAAAGTGTACAGAATGAATTGGTTTATTTATTATTACATACAAATAATTTGACACCGATCGATTTTGCGAAATCAAATTTTTGCTAGTAGCGCTTGGTGCATCTTATTTTGAGGTACACCGGATGATATTTACAAAGACATCGGACAAAGAAAGGTAATCATGATGACAATGTTCTGACACAATTCGAAATAGGCACGTTGTCTAAATATCACACCAATAAGTGACATCCAATCAATTTCGACCCAATAATATGACAAAACTTTCGACGGTGTTCAAAAGAATTCCAATTGCTAAGCAAATGCATACAAGTTAAAGAGGAATGGAAGGAGATCAATTGGGAGAACATCAATTACGGAAGAGATGTGAGAAATAAAATTATTTAGCGTAGTAGTCACCCAGAAATAAACAAATCCCTCGCTCTTCTATACCTACTGCGGTAGTTGGACTGGGTAAAACGGTTGCTAGCGTACGGTTCCCTATGACCCATGCCTTATCATTTCAAATTGGCGAAACACTAAAACCTCTTGCGCTGTCCAGATTCCAGTGTTGTATTCCCTGAGAAAAGCGCATCTACGAACGCTCGCAATGACGCACTCGACACTTGATTCTTTCTCTTTGTGAATGAAATAACAGCGACCGTATGGACAAGAACTTTTCTAAGAGAAAGCCTTACAAATTATTGTCTTGTATTTGGTATGTTTTTTTACTTTCGCGCAACTCTGTGACAATGACTCTGGCATATTTGTATATTAGAGCAACTTAGATAATATTAACGTTCATTTGGGTTATAGTGATGTGCATGACCTGCAATATGTATATAGTTACACAAGAAATACGCACCAATCACATGCACCTGTCGCAAACCTTTCAGTGTGACGCAAACGAACTGGGATGTCAGAAAGTTGCCATTCCATTGCTGTTTCCAAAATTGCAGACAGCTCCAGCAATATTTTATCTTCTTGTCTCTAATTGCTAAAGCCCTTAAAAACTTTGAGTAGTATACTTATATAGAGTTGAATCCTACTTTTTCTCGCCCTTTGCTAACTTCAAAGACAACGACCATGGGTGCCGACGAAGGTTGCAAAAGTCTTTATGTGGGAAACCTTGACCCAAGAGTAACTGATCAAATGCTTCTCCAGATCTTTGCTGTTTCTGGTTCTGTAAACAATACGAAAATTATCCCTGATAAAAACGTGAGTTGAAACAAAACAATACATTTAGAGCCAATCAAGAAAACAGTAACAATGAGAGACTGCAAGAGCGATTTATGGGGGATTTATTTTGATATTGGAAAAACTGAGAGAACCCATACCAGAAACTTTTTTTACTCTTACCTATTATGTTATATCATTTCTTTGATATGTGAGAAGAGAAAGAAACCTACTGTTTTGCTTTTCTTTCCACATTTGTTTAAGTTTCGAGGACTCTTGCTGATGTTGGAGGACAAAAACTTGCAACAAG